TTTATTTAATTGTGTAATGCTTATTGCTTCTTTAAGATTCAATAATTATATTTTAGAATTAAAAATATCATTTATAATAAAGACCTCGTGCAATACTGATGAATTATCCATTACAGAAACATTAAAAAATGATTGACGTAATTACCAGTACTTTCAATTTAAGGCAGCTGTGGCATAAACTTTACACTGAGTAGTGATCTAATAAATGTGTTAAGCACTGTACATTGACTTTTCTAACCTATAAACTTGTTGGCCTTCATAAAACATTAGCTGATATTTGTGGAACATAACTCATGTGTTGGCTACATATATGTTTGCCTGTGTAACAGGTAGATCATGCATTGTGTCAAAATACCACTACAGACCAAGATCCTCACATTGTCTGTTGGTTATTTTTGCAGTAATGATGACACTAGGACTATAGAAACATTTATGTCAACGTGCACACAGGCACACAGTTCAGTAGCTGACTAACCTAGCTTGCAGCATAGCCTTTGTGCCATTGCTCACTGAGCAGAAGTAATGATAGTGTAGTTCTACCATTTCACAAATATCTTTGCCTCCAACTCCGTTAAGCACATACAATATACATTTACATGAAGATGAAATGGTAATTAAAAAGAACAGTGTCTTAAAGTAATCAACACACAGTTAAGTCAATTAAACAACCTACATGTGTATTCTTCTTCTGGCCTGTATATTGTTTCAGGGCCTGGTTCATGATGCAAAGGAAGGCCCTACACCACCACCTCCTTCTGATAAAATCCACCTAATTAATATTGTTGTGCATTCTGCAGATGTCGCTTAAAGACAATAGCTTTTAAAAATTAATGATCTCTAAGTAAGTTCAAGTGCCTTTCATCATATGCAGCATATCAGTGAAGAGTGAAGAGCTAGTGAAGAGAGCAGATCATATTGTTTCTGTCTTTTAACAGTTCCTAAAGTATAAGTCAGGTTACAAATTAAATAGTTTTTAATATATGCTACCATGTACTTACCTAGTGAAACTTGACTGAGTAGCAGTGCGTCACTTCCACTTTGCACAAATCTCAGCACAATCTAGATACAGTTTCACTGCATGGAAGGGGAAAAAGTAGCCGCATCTAAAACAGCTGTCAACCACAGTGGTTATATTGAAAAAAAAATCCCTACCTGGAAAAAATGTATACATCAATAAATAAAAGGCACTGTTCTGTGCCATGCAGTTCAGAATCTTTCTTTCCAAATAAACCAATGGCATAAAAGTAATGACAGTGCAGTGATATAAACCTTTTACAGTGCAGCTGTGTGTCAGCTCATTTTTGGCATTAAGTTTCACCAATTAGTAATGCTATGCTGGAATCACACCACATGGCAGTGACTGTCTCCTAAGGTAGCCTATGTAGTAATATGATAAAACACAGAGTTTAGTTTTATTCAGTGTTGCCATGTTGCTAGCTATATATGACAAAACTAGCAGATCCTGTGAATGTGTAAATAAAGGTATATTACATTTTGTGGGGACCCTGCAGTTCTGGATTAGTTGCTTAGGATGGAGTATGGTACTCCAGCACTGGAAAAAAAAATAGCTTCCTCTGTAAGTCCTATCCTTGTTTCTGGACATTGCCAATACTGTAACATCATCCTAAACGAACAACAAGACAAAAGGTGAACAAGAGTGCTTGTTTCAGAAGCTGTAGCCAAGACATCCGGGAGGAGGGGGGCTCACCATGTTTTTGCTGCATCGCTATTTTTGTTTGCCCTGGCTATATTAAACTTTCAGGACTTGCTGCAAAAACACGCTAATCTCCGAGCGCCGTCACGAACACGTACGTCTGGCTCTGAGGTTTCTGCTGGACGCGGCCTGTGTCGAGTTGAAATTTGTCATATCTTCCTCCCGCCGATGTCTGTCCCCGCTTCACGTTTTTTCACTGTTATTTGTCAACAGAGTCTCTCCTTAGGTCACCAGTGACACACCAAGCACTGCAACTTAATTACCCACAAACCTTTGGGAGAAATAACCAAGAAGTCCCTCTTATCACTGTGACTCTTCTGCCAGAGGTAATGTGAAAACTCCTTCCGTGCTTTTACTCTGTCACCATGCATTTCATCCTTGGGGCTAGCTTTTCTTCCTCATCTGACCTCTCTCTCATCCCTCTCCCTCCCTTGAGAAAGTTCCACTTGGTGGCCTTTCTCCGGGGTGACTGATGGCTCCTCTATGGGCAGACTCATCCAGACTTAATTACCCACAAGCCCCTCAGAGGGCAAATGCAGAGTGACCGGGGCATGCGCACTATGTCATCCCCTCTCCCCCTCTTGCTCCTTTAGTCCAGCATCGCTGAGTGGATTGTTAAAGCCCATCCACTGTGTCCTTTTTTTCACTATGTTACATAATAAAACCGCATTTGTTTTTTGGGCGGGTGTGGATGTGGGGGGTTCTTCCTTGGAAGAGGATGCGATTAGCATAAGTATTACCCCCACCCCCACCCCAGTTATTCCAGTTTAACCAGACTTCAAACCAGCAGAAATGCTCTTGTTAAATTTTCAGACAGACCAGCGGGGCCTCTGATTGGTCACAGTTAAGCTTCAGTGCTGCTGGCTAACAAAGTTTGTCATGCCCAAACACCCAAAGTGGTATTGTGAAAAAAACAAAACCCCAAACACGGGATTGTACACTCCAAATCAAGACAGAGGCTACTTGTATTCCTCCGCAAATGCCCTTGATGCAGCTCACACCCACACACAACACACCGGGATCGATTTGAAAATTTATTTTCATATAAAAAAGACACTATGAAAACATTAGAGGACTACTTTGTACAATCTTATGTATAAAAAGAACAAAAATGGAGAAAGGGATGAGTTTTCAGTAATAAACCAGGAATGTTGGATGGTTGTAGCAGTCGGGTTAACACTGAAGCATCAGGGTGGAGGGCGAAGGTGAACATGGGGTGGGGGGTGGGGGGGTTAAGTTGGCTTGAACATGGAGTTGAGTTGCAAATTTTCTCTCCTTAGCTTTGTACTTGTTTGTGTGGGTTGATTCTTGTAAGACTGACAGGAAGAAAAATTGAGATGGCATTCTGACCGGCATCTTCTCGTGGTTAAATATGCATCGCAGAAGAGGAAAACGTTGAAGATTCGAAATGTTAAGACCCAAGATGAATATCTCAATCAGACAGGCAGCGTCTCACTTACCGTTTACTCCGAGAAGAAAACTTAAAAGCCATTCATCACCGCGCCTGAAGCTGTTCACGCCGCAATAAACAAATCGGGGAGGGGGGCTGTATCAAAACGTCACATTGTGTGAAAATCAAACCTGACTATTGTTGTGGGTTTCTGATGGGAAGGGGGGGGGGTCTACAAATGATTGGTTTCTCATGGACTCACATGGGGGCCTGGCAGACAGTCGCTTTGTTCTGTTGGACACACTGTGCAGTAGATCTGGAAAAGCAGAGCCTCCTCACAGAGGGTCAGGTGAATGTGACCTTAGCTCGGCAACTTGGGATCAAACCTATCTCGCTCCTCTGAGAGAGGGCGAGCTGTAGGTTTGCTTATCGGCTGATTAACTTGAAAGGTTAGGAGGGCCGCGCTCTTGTCTCACCATCTGCGCTGTGCTGCTCTACTACCACATTAGGGATCTTTAAACAGATGGTTTGAGGGCTGCATTGGAAAATGTCAGGACAAATCGCCATCCCCGGATAATTACTGTTTTTGAGCGCTCCCCTTCCTCGGCATCTCTGCCTGCCTCTGGCTTTTTTTCTTTTTTGCCGTGTATATTTAGAACTTTCCTCCTCGGCTACCATTTTTCTTCGTTTCTTCACCCATAAGCTGTCTCTATTTTTTTTTTCTATCCACACTGTTAGATTAATGGCAGCTGCTTTGAACATAGACAGAAAAGTTATGGAGCTATCATTTGAATTCATCCTGCACTCTCTGACACTTTCTCTCTGCTGGTGTGTGGAGGACTGATGTGCTAATGTAGCAGCAGCAGAAAACTGGTCGTCCTTTTGTAACCGCTGAAGTACGGAGGTAGAATGTCAAGCAGAAAACATCACCATCGGCTCCTCTTCAGTCTGACACCTTGTAGCCTTATAACCTGTGATTCCCTCCCCGTCTTTCTGCGAGCGGGGAATTACATATCTCTGCTCTGCTGCTAGACTTCATGCCTTCTAGGAGCACGACACTGAGTGGGCAGAGTGAGCAACAGAGGAGCGGCGCTGTAAGCAAAGAAAGGCATGTTTGTAGAGCTCGTGATGAAGTCCTCGGATCGTGTGATGTCTCATTACTGGATTCAAAATCCTCCTCAGGTCATTTGAAGCTAACAGAGGTTTTTTGACTGGGGGAAACTGATCAATTCTTCACTCTAAAGCAGCACATTTCTCAGGATCTCAAAAGCATTCCTTGTAGGCAGAAGTGCCTGAGATATTCTTCTTTTCTGGCTTTACTACGACTGGTGATGGTTGAAATGGAGTCAGATATTTAAGTCTTATACTACTCTTTTCTTTAAGCAGCAGAGGGGAAAAGAAGGAGATGCATGAATCTGCATGAGTCGCATCCTTTTTTGTTCCCTCTATTGGGGGCAGTGGGCGGGGGATCTCACGTGGTGCACATTATGTCAGAAAGCAAGCTCACATTTATGTGCTGTGTAACTGTATACAGGAAATAAAACAAATAGATATATAATAAGAATGAAAAAGCATCACAAGCACAAACCCAACCAAATTCTCCAAATGAATCGATTCTTTTTTCATCAATGGGACCATAGAACACAACTCGGTTGGTAGTTATTTGTTTCAGTCGTGTTATTTTTCCTGTAGGGGAGGACATTTGTTTTTTATTTTGGGGAACCAAACCATAAAAAAACATACCGAGTGAAGGAATGTGATGTTAACACAAAGAGTGCGATAGGAACGGGTGAATAAAAGTGTTGAAATGAAACCTGAAAAACAGAAGAGAGGATGGCACATATCATCGAGAGGCTCTGTCCCCACCCTCCGCCCCCACCCGCCCCCACATTCCCTGTCCGTTCAAATAAGAAAAAAAGAAAAGAAAAAATGGAATAGATAAAGACTGACCAATTTGATTCTCAAGGGGGAAAGCAAATTGAGAACAGGGTGCCTTGGAAGGGAGGAGGAGGAGGGGAGGCTACCCAAGTGTGAGAAACCTCAGTGAGATCTTTTCCCCTTGCTATAAAACAAAAATCTCCCACCCCCACCTCAAAGTCATGAAACAATTGAAAGAGGTTATCTTTTTTTATCTTCTCCAGAATAAAATCAAGACAATTTCTCGGAAATAAGTTTCTCATAGTTTTTTTTTCTTTTTTCTTTTAAAGTTCATTTAAAAATCTTCTCTTTTTTAATCAGTCACAGACATGTCAAGCCCCTGTTCTTTCTTTTCAATAGTCTTTGCGAAAATATAGAGTAGAACAGTCTTCTTTCCATGTCTGTCCGCTGCAGCAGTAAACATACACTATGGGATCCGACAGAGCACATTGCAGGAGATGGGGAGGCGGGGAGTAGTAGAGAGTGTGTGTGATCCTTGCAGAGAACTCGTGTACCTATGTATAGCTTTTCAGTAGTCCGGTGTCTCTGTGTGCATCTGCACCTCGGCACGAGAGAGCGTGTCTGTTTCAGTGGGTGTCTTCACACGTCTGCGTGTCTTCACACTTCAGTCTGGAAGTCTCCCTCGGATGAGTCGGGGGTGTTAGCCGAGGACGAGTCCCAGTTTTTATTGTGCAGTTCCATCCGGTCTTTCTGCTCCCCGGGCACGATGGACAGCTCGGGGGTCATGGTCTTGAAGCTGTCCCAGGAGCTTTGGTCCTCTGGGGTTGACTTGTCCTAATAGAGAAGAAGGACAAAGAGAGGGGGCGGGAGGACGACCATGTTAGGAAAATTCTGAAAACACTTTCATGCCGTCTGATGGAGAATTACATTTTACAAGATAATATTATCCCCGTATCTTTTCCTAATTACAGGCTACAACTAGCACTCATCTGCTTAGTTTAGTGTAAATAAAGAAAAGAGGAAAAAAGAAGAGGAAAAGGAGGTTGATGACCAATGAGTGATAAGCAACATGCTTATCACTCATAAAAAGGTCTACCGAGTGTAATTTGTGCAAAAACTGAAGTGTAAATGTAATTTCACGAGAGAGATGTTTTAGCAGAGCACACGCACCACCTTAGGAAGTTCGGTTTCATTTAATGACCAGAGCAATAACCGCGTTTCACGAGATATCAGAAGTGCAATATTTTTCAGCCTGTGTACCCGCTGTATCTGTGGGTAACACAGTCGTCATGTAAAATAAATGATCGCCACCAGCACAGGGGAGCGCTGACGTTTGGTTTTACCGGCAAATAAAATGATTTCGATAATTAGACTGAACTGTTGAGTTGTTTACCGTCCGTGTGATCTTGTAACCGCTCTCGTTCCTTGCCAAGTTGGACTTGTAGCGATTACTCTTGGCCAGTACCAATCACAGTCACCAAAATTCAAATGCTGGCATGCGATGCTTCTGCATATCACTGATGGATGTAATCTCACTGCTTGTTTCATTTTTTTTCTCTCTTTTTTTTTGATATATGTGTATATCAACACGATAACAGCTTCTGGGGCTTCCTGGTGACAGGATTTACATTTTTCGTACTTTTTTTCCTAAACTAACAAGCTCATGCCTTCTGCTTCTGGGTCTGTGATGCTCTGTTTTTCTCTCGCTGCCAATTATAGCATATTGGCTTATCTGTACATCCAATGTCTGAATTTGGATTTATGATTGTGGGACTGAGATCTGAGCTCATAAATCTGGCTCTTATATTACATCACTGACCTTCAACAGCTTCTCCCCCTGCCTTCATCTAGTCTTCATTCAGACTTCAAAGTAAAAAATACAGCAACAGGGATATATGATGAGTTTGCCAGTACAATGTTAGATACACTCACCAGCCACTTTGTCAAGTACACCTGTTCAACTGCTCATGAACACAAATATCAAACCACACAATCACATGCTACTCAGCAATCCGAGACCATGTCTGCATGCCTAAATGCTATTAAGATTTTTCTGCAAAAAAATACTCTGGATTTACAGAAAACATTCCAAAAAAGAGAAAATATCCAGAAGCAAAAATGCCTTGTTGATACCAGAGGACACAGGAGAATGGTGAGGATCCTTTGAGTTGATAGGAAGGCAACAGTAACTCTCATAACTGCCCGTTACAAATGTGCAAAAGAGCCTTGCTGAATGCACATTATGTTGTGCACCTTGATACAGACGGGGATACAGCAGCAGAAGCTCACTCCTGTTAGCTAACATCAGGAAACTGAGGCTACAATTTGCATGTAATCACTAAAATTGGACAACAGAAGATTGGAAAATCATTGCCAAGTCTGAATTGTTTCTTTGTCAATTTCTGCTTCTGATATTTGGACGGTCGGGTCAGAATTTGGTGTAAACAGCATGAAAGCATGAATCCATACTGCCCTGTATCATCTCACTGATCGTGGTGTAATATTGGAGGGGATATTTTGCATCAATGAAACATCACAGTATATTTGAGTATAGTTGCTGACCGTGTCAGTCCCTTTATGAACACAGTGTACTCATCTTCTGATGGCTGCATCCAGCAGGATAACGCACCAGGTCACAAAGCTCAGATCATCACAAACTGGCTTCTTCAACATGACAGTGAGTTCATTGTAGTCACTGGCCTCCACAGTCAGCAGATCTCAATCAATTAGAGCATCTTTGGGATGTGGTTGAACAGTAGATTCACATCATTGGTGTGTGCCTGACAGAGCAGATCTGCAGCAACTGTGTGATGCTATCATGTCAACATGGACCAAAATCTCTGAGGAATGTTTCCAGCACCTTGTTGAATCTATGCTATGAAGAATTAAGGCAGTCCAGTCGGCAACACAGTATGTGCAAGGTGTACCTAATAAAGTGTCTGGTGAGCATAATTAAATCAAAGAAATACGAATAATAGGAATACGAAAATCGGGAAAATGTTTCAAAAAAATCCTGTAAAAACAATTCAATGGGAACATTTTATTTAGCCTGCAGGGAGTTTTGGAGACGGATACACCGCAACATTCAACAAATCAACAAACAAATTTCTTAGCACTGCACTTACAGGGTTGTAACAGTGCACTAAATTAGCATTTCCATATGAACCTTGATTTCCAAGTTCTGATATGGGTAAGTTGCACAGATAAAAAAAACCCAAAATAAATAAAAAAA